CAAAACAATTGGGATAAGTTGATATTTTGTTTATTTTAAAAATGCTTTTTTTTTTTTTTAAGAAAAGGCAATATTGAAAGGAATGTCTGCTAAGCAGGAATTAGTTGAGTTCTTTTGGGGGAAGGTGGTTTAGAGGATGGGGGCTCAGGGAGATACTTCCAGGTGGCAGGAAAAGGATACACAGAGAATCTTACATGTGTTCAGGGTCCCAGGGACTTAGCTGGACTAGCTCAAAAGCAGTAAGTAGGGATGAGTCTGGGGAGAGGGTGGCCTAGCCAGGATGGCTTTGTATACACCTAGTGGTGTGCGCCTAGAGAAGGAATTGCTAAGGCCAAGGTTGAGCTCCTGGAAGTGTGGATTTATCAGCAGGTGACGGGTAGACAGTTCTGGAAATCAGGAGAGGCTAGCTCGGATGTCATCAGTTAACCCATAATGACTGTAGCTACAGAAGTAGAGATTCCCTTGTGCTGAGGGAGAAGGGAAGAGCCTCGAGAAACATACTGAAAGAAAAGGAAAAGCCAGAAAAGGGACTAAGGGACACCAGAGGCAGCAGAACCAAGAGCCAGAGAGGGATGAAACCAGCCCTGGGAGGGCTCACAGGTCCAGTTGGGGGTCCCCAAATGTCCAGTGATGACTCTAGGGAGGAGAGTGGTGGGCTGGGGACACATAGTGCTCCTCTTTGGCAAGAGGATGTTTAGAATTGGGATGGTAGGAAGTTGACAGGTTTCTCAAATGATAACCACTCTCTGACAGTGTGAGACTAGACGGTATGGTAGGAGATTTGAGGAGAATGGGGTAGGGATTGGAGCGGTATGGCTGCAGAAGGAGGGTGGCTGATGACAAGGCCGAGACTGAGTGCCTGGACTAAATAAATAGTAGGGATAGTACCAGAGAGCGGGGGGCGGTGATCTTTGAAAGAAGGGATGGGCCAGAAACCTCATCAACAAGCAGGGGCTGTGTGGAGCTTCAGGTACATAGGTGGGTGCAGACCTCAGCCAGTACACAACTGGCACCTAGCTGGTTGCAGACCTTAGTAAACAGTAGGCACCCAGAAAGACAAAGACCTCAGTAAACAGCTGGTGCACAGGTGGGTGCAGACCTCAGTCAGTAGACAGGTGCTACATATCTGCCTCAAGCTGGACTCTGTTCCAGGCATTGGTGTTTGCTGCAGAGATGAGAGGGCACAAGAAACTGCACAGCGCAGCTCAGTGGTAGGGCACCACATCTGTGTGGAGGCTCAATGAACAGCAAGTGGGTAATGGGTAAGAAGGGTGCTGGGTGATCAGAAGGAAAGCAACCGGGCCAGTTATGTCACAGCTGGACTTGCAAATCACACGTGTAAGCTAATCAGACCGACTGGCCAGCAGCCACCACAGAGGCTGAACTGGCATCTGCACTGCATGCTCACCACATTTTAAACAGATCTTCTCAAACTTTTGATATATGCATTTGTATGCTGGGCAAGAGGTATAGCTTAGTGGTAGAGGGCTTGCCTAGCATGTGTGAGGCTCTGGGTTCAATCCCCACTACTGGAAGAAGAAAGACAAGTCCTGATGCTGATAGGCCAGGGCTGGGCTCTGCATCTCTTACCCCTTCTTTGGCTTGCCCAGGATCAAGCCCAGAGACTTGCACAGGCTACCTCCTCAACCAGATTTGCGTATCTCATCAGCTCCTGGGCAAGAACAGTGCTGCTGGTTAGCAGAGCACTTTTAAAAATGATTTTCTTGCCGGGCAGTGGTGACACACGCCTTTACTCCCAGCACTCGGGAGGCAGAGGCAAGCGGATCTCTGAGTTTGAGACCAGCCTGGTCTACAGAGTGAGTTCCAGGATAGATTCCAAAGCTACGGAGAAACCCGTCTCAAAAAAACAAAAGAATTTTTTTCTTTTTAATTAAAAAATGTATATTCCCATTATATACAGCATGATGTTTTGAAACACATATACATCGTGGAATGGCTAAACAGAGCTAATTAACACACGTTACCTCACATACTTACCTGTTTTTTGGTGGTGAGGACATTTAATATCTATCTGCCTAGCCATTTTTATTTACTAGAGGCAATATATGGTGTGATAGATTTAACACACTGTTCCTACCCAAAATTTCATATTCTCAACCAAAAGCTCTCCACCTCCCTGCTTTGGATAGTAGGCTTTTCTTTTGTGTGACAGCTCATTTTTCCTATGGTCCTGTGCCTTTTGGTGAGGCGCTGGAGCCAGCCAACTGTTATGTTTTTAAGCACCCAATGACCTATCTGACAACAGGCTGATAGTTTGAAATAAACAATGATAATAGGAGTTTTCACACTACTGATAGCCACAAGTCAGGGAACTGTTTGTGTGTGGGAGGGTTGTTTTTTGCTTCCCTTAGGAGCGCTGGTTGTTAAACAATTTATATACCTGGTGCTAGCCAACCCATCATTAACAGTGTTAACACGATAAAATGGCCTCTGTGTCAGGGGTCTGGAGAGCAAGTTCTGTGATGGTCTCAGCACAAGCTGATAAGGAGACAGCAACATGAAGGTGCCTGGGGGAGGCCCTGAGGCCCTGACTTATCTAGTATACCAGAGTACCACCAGAGGCAAACACTCAGTACTACCGTATCTGTGTGTCCATGAGTCACCAAGAGAAGAAGAGTTGGAAAGAGAAGAGGGAGGTGTTATGGGCAGAGTGACTTGCTGGAAATTCTCATCTATAGGCACTGTCCTTTCGGGGTCACCCCTGGCCAGGCCTGTCTTTGTTGTACTAGCAGGTGGACATATTCGCCAGAAAAAAAAAAAAATGGATAGTGAATCTCAGCCCAAGAGAAGGAAACTGGTTAATTTTTATTTGATTTGCTTACTGACCTAGAAAAATGGGGACAAATTAAAACAAATCAAAACAACCCATTCATCTACTATGGCCAAAAGAAAACCAATGGAATCCTGTTTGGGGACCATTTGAGGAAGAAAATGGAATCCTACTGCTGGAGAAGAAAAAAAAAAGGGGGGGGGGTTGACCTGTGGGGTATGCCCTTTTAATTTCCTCTTTCTTTTTCTTTAAATTCTTTTTAATTTCACAAACCTGCTTATTAAGATCACAAGCTCTCCTGGGTCCCTCAGCTGTCTGGCAGATGGGTCACTGCCAGCTATGTTCAAGTTACTCTGTGGACGATGCTGCCCTTGAGGCTGTGAAGAAGGTGGCGGTGGATGAGGGATGATCCTGGGGATGAGCTCAGGGATACAGGCTCTGTCTGCTTCATAGAACCATGGCTGGCCAGGGGTCCTGACGTAGGGACCTAGGCTGTGCTACAGCTTTGCTTCAGAAAGCTTCTCCCAGGGAGCCTGCAATGGC